AAGCCGCGGGACCCTTTCGGGTGGTTGTGCATGGGCGGAACAGGGGAATGTGCAGCAGCAAACATAAGTGTCACCCGAGCCAGCAACATAGACAACGGCTTGGAAACGCACAGTTGCCAAGGCACGATGGCTTGGCCCGGTAGACTGCTTTGGTGACTTGGCTAATCGACGTCTATTGCAGGAGTTCCCGCCTTCGCAGTTTAGCAATTAAGTAACGTTGCGCGTTTTGTACATTTTCGAAGGCAAAGACCCTGAAACCGTAAATGTTCTTCCCACAGCTGGCATTCTCTAGAGCCGCCGCACAATTCCCATCAGTATTCTGGAGCCCATCACTGCTGGGATAAAAAGCTTTATATCTGAGGCAGAAAGCTTATTGTAGTTGCCGGATAAGCTCTCTCGCTCTCTCACAGATATATATATGTATATCTTTAAGAAGGAAGTACTCGCTGGAGTTAAAAGACAAAATTCCAGTGTTTTAGGAATACGTGAGTGGCAATTTCACTCCCAGAGTCGTTAGATACGGGGTGGGTGGCAAATACATTTTATATTTTCACATTTCCTGGAAGAGTTTTATCTATCATGAACATTAATGGCTCTAAAGCAGTGGTTCCCAACCTTTTCTATACCCCACACCCCTAGAACGCTTCTGATATATTCTCGCATCCCTTACATAATTCGTATATGCAACGAATTATGCATATACACTATAATTTTGAAAACCCAAGTTTTTGCACCTCCTGGAATATCATCTCACATCCCCAGGGGGTGCGAGCACCCCTGGTTGGAAACCCCTGCAATAAAGGGTACAAATATGGTCCTCTGCTCCAAGGTGTGTTTTGTTTTGTTTTTTATATACCAGAGTTAGCAGTTCTAAGAGCAGAATCAGAATGGAAAAAGAACATTTAAATTACTGAGTTCAACTTTGCTCCAGGCAGAAATCCAAATGAAAAAATCCTGACAGGTTGCTGTTTAGTCTCTGCTTAAATACTTTCAGTGAATAGGACCTCAAAACACTTTTGAGTAGTTCCATTGTCAAACTGTTCTTACAAGTAGGAAGTTTTTTTCCTACAATCAAAATCTTCCTTTGTGTAAATCAAATCCACTATTCCAGGTCTTATCATCAGGCATGAAAGAGTACAGATGTTGACATTCATATCCTTTCAGGTACTTGAAAATTTACTATCATATCCCATCCACTTATTCCATCTTCTGAAGGCTAAACATTTATAGGCCTGGGTGAATTTCAGTCATTCTGTTGCACTGAAATGCTTGGCCTCATGCAGGTGTGCAACTGTCTCAATATACAGAAGTAGAATTGGACTGGTCTACCTTAAACATCAGTTCAACTTCAGGGGAAATAATTTCTGGGCATGCACTGTATGTGAACAGGAACTGCTTTTCCTGAGCCAAGGACTTTTACTGCTCTGCTCTGCTCTGCTGCACTGGTTAGAAGCAGGACACTGAAGTATTTGAGCAAAAAAGGTTTGAAAGTGCTTTGCTCAAATCTTCATCAAATCAAAGGACCTTTTCAACTATTTGTTCAGCCCTACTTAATGTTCCATGTTCCTTTAATCTGACTTCATAGGATTTTGTTTCTAGTTTATCCTCCTCTTGCCTTTTTGGAAATTATTCTAGTTTGTATGCATCCTTGTCAAAATGGAATAACTAGAATTTTGAGTCTCAGCGCAGAATAAAATGAAACTATTATTTTCTGTGACCTGTACTTCCTTTCATGTAATCTAAAAGTGCATTTGCTTTTTTTTTTTTGCAGACACATCATACTACATATTTATTTTCTAATAAACTACAGTTTCAAGATACTATTCACTATTGTCAGGCCAATTATTCCCTATCCTGACTGTACCTGTGCATTTGTTTCCTGAATGAAAAGCTTTGCATTCATTCTCATTGAATGAATTCAATAAATAATTATTTTATTTACAGCCCATTTCTTTAACAAACTAAGCTTATTTTGAAATATCTTTCTTCGAATATTAGCTGTCCTTCCCAATTTCCTATCATCTTGAAATTTGATAAGTATTTCTACCATTTCTTCTGTCATGGTTTAGAGCACAGAGGCCCACACTTAACTAGCTTGCTATTGGAATATTGTGGAATATTTTGTCAAATGCTTTGCTGAAACTAAGAAAGTTTATGTCTGTAGTATTTCCTCACTCTACTAATGAAGTTATCCCATCAAAATACTAACATTAATTTGGCAAAACCTGCCAAATCCAGACTAAACTGTCAAAATCAAGGCGCTTATATAAAATTGCTTTACGATTGCTTTAGAACCTACTGTACAGTGGTGTCAGATTTAATTATTTTAGTCCTCTTTCTTTTTCTTAGAAGAGAAGCATTTGCCTTATTAATTCTTCAATTCTATGTCCTCATCCTGCTCTTTAAAATGCCTGATGAAATCTATAATATCTTGTGGGAGAAGACTGAGCCAAAATAAAAAGTAACTAATTATGTCATTTCATTATTATCTTTTAGTATTTTTCCATCTTTGGTTTCTTTTCATTTTAAAGAGATCTGATGTTGTTTTAACATCCTTTGTCAAACTTCAATACTTTTTGAGTTAATCATTCCTCTCAATCTCTACAATTTTATGCTCGCTTTGTACTCTCCTCCTTGATGGCCTGGCCCTCTTTTTATATCCTATGTGGTGGTTTTTTGGGGGACGGGGGGGGGGGGGATTTCCAGTAATCTTTTTGTAGCCATATTGGCTTCTGTTGTCTTTCCTTTTCAGTACCTTGAACTATTTACAGCTGTACTTTTAGGAGTAAACTAGTATACTAATTTGTAGTTTCCATTAAAACTCCAGCATTACATGATTGCTTTCCTCTAATGTAGCTGCTGTTTCATTTATCACAAACTTTTCCCTATCCCCATTGGATAGTATGAAATCAATGTTATTTGATGCTCTTATATCTTCAACTGCTTTTTAAAGGGAAAAAGTTTTCAGCAAAACGAAGCAGGAATTTCCTGGAAAATCCATGCTTGACAGAATTTGTCTTTCAACAGATACTGAGGCATTACAATCCTCTGTCTATACAGTATTGTTCCATGTCTTATTGGAATATCTGCTGTTTCCTTTTAGAAGGCATAATCCACCTCTTCTCCTTGGTTAGGGAGGTAATAGTAGACTCCAACAAAAATATTGTTTTTATTTATTCCTCTGTTTAAAATCTGGATACTCTACACAAGTTAATTAATTTGGGTTTCTGAGAACTTACAGAGCAACGTACGGTGCAATTTCTCCTCATTCATTCTATTGCTTTTCCTCTAGAATACATTTGATTTCTGTATTCCAATAAGACTCATCTCACCAGGTCTGTGATTATTGTCATATTTTTCTTCTTATGATAAAAGTTCAAGCTTTTTCCATTCTTTATTTTTCATATTTTGCTTAATAGAACATAGGCCTTAAGTTTTACAAACATTTTCCTCTTATTTTTCAATTTGTGATTTAACAGGGCCAACTACATCACTCACAATTCCTTTTAAATTGTATGCATTTATTTAATATTCTAACTTCACTGTTGTTGTTTTTCTGGATTCATTTAATGTCTTCCTGATCGAGTTCCATATGCTTCGATTCCACATATTTTAACTGATTTATTTGCAATTAACAATTATTTGCCATTTATTTACTTGCAGTTTACTGCCATATTCAGTAGGCACTTATTCCTAAAACATGGGAATAAGATTGTACCAAAAGTAGTGAAACATTGATTTTAAAATTCTGATAGAGATTCCAGCTAAGCATACAAACTAAAAACTTAAGTACTAATGGAATACTTAGTACTTAATCCTTAGACATAATAGAGGAATTCTAAAGCCATTGAAATTGGTCCTGCTGAATTGTCTCTTTTGTTTAATAATATATACCGTTTCAAGAAGTAACATATTCAGTTTAAATCTGATGTAACTTTTGTAAATAATGTTCTGACATATTGATCAGATCAATCTGAGCAAACAGATTGTTTGAGAGCTACCTTATGCCTCATTATGACCTTTGAAATGATTTGTTGGATGATGACACAAAACAAATTTCCACCCGAAGTTGGTATGCACTAGGCTTTTTTTTCTATCAGTCAATTCAGCAGTCAGTAGAAGAGGTGCATATAAATGCACATGAAGGCAACTTGACTGGATTTGATTCATAAATGCCCTTAGGATAAATCTTCAAGCTCTATAAAGGTGAATCCACAAATGCTACAAGGCTAGATTGATGTTTCCTGATTTGGTGCCTTCCAAACATGTTGGACATTCAAGACCTGTAATCTTATAATCAACACCGGCAATGCTTACTCTAAGACAGGGGTGTCAAACTCAATTTCATTGAGGGCCGCATCAGCATTGCGCTTGCCCTCGGGGGGGCTGGGTGGGTGTGGACAGGGTGGGTGCAACCTACTGGGTGGGCATGGATAAGTGGGTGTGGCCTACTGGGTGGGCATGGCCAGCTCTACATTGTTCGCGTCAAGGGTGCCTGTGGGGGCCTGGGTAGGAGTGGGACAGATCTGAGGGTCTCTGGCAGAAGGGGGTGGGACCGGGGTAAGCACAAAGGCATGGTCCATTTCTTCATTCCTCACAAAGGGTGACACCTCCCCAGCGGGGCCGACGTGGCAGGGGCTGGTTCCTCACTGTTTCTAGACGGCCTTATGGAGCTAAGACTGAATGTGTTTCAGCATTGATGGCCACCACAAAATTGTACATTGGCTCCCGGCTGGCCTGGACCAGGGCCATGGTAGCGGGGGCCGTTCCCTCACTGTTTCCAGGATGGCTTCGTGGGCCACATGAAACCGCTTCGCGGGCTGTATCCGGCTCCCGGGCCTTGTGTTTGACATGTCTGCTCTAAGATTATAACAGTTAAAATCCAACACATCTGGTGCCATTGGCTTGGGAGAGGCTGAAATTGGGATGCCCCAATCCTTTTTCATCCCTTTTCTTTCCTTTCAGTTGTGAGTTTGCAGTTTCATGTTCAACTGGCAACAATGCATACTGCAAAGCCCAGGATGGTGGTCCCATATGGCCTCAAGACTCTACTTGAAGGAGTGAGCAGAGCAGTTCTCAAAGCTAGTCCCTCCAACATCACTGAGTTTGCTGCTGAGTATTTCAAAGAACTGATAGTTTTTCGAGAAGGTTTGTCTTTTTTTTGTTTTAAAAGGTTAAATATTCATCAATATAAGCAAACCAACCATCGCTCAAACTAGTGTGTCCTTATATTAGCTCTGATAGGAAATGTGTTTCACATGTCAGTTTTGTACAAGCAGAGATTTAGGTCTATAAATTGATTGCCTTTCTCCGTTTTTTCTTTCCAGAACATCCTAATCTGGATATCAAAGAACTGGTGAGAGAATTTCATATGACAAGAGGTATGAGATTAAAGTACTAAAAATGAATTGTTGCCAGGGTTGCACATTATTTAATGTAATGTTATTTAATGTAATGTTATTTAATTAAACATTATTTAAGGTTTCTTTTGAGGGGAGATTTTAAAGAAAATTTAAATGTAATTTCTGATGCTGCAAGTGAAAGTGGAAGACAAGGCTTTCCTCCCTGACATTGTTTTTACATTGAAAATCATCCATCCATCCATCCATCCATTCATAACATCCATAGATTATAAATCTGAAAAACCAAAGGTGACTTATATTTATGTGAATTAAATATAGCAGAAAAACACCTGATTTAAAAAAAAACCAACTGGGCCGTTGTTTGAAATAGTAGTAATGTAAAATTCTTGATTCAATAGATTTGCGTATTTGCCAAAGCCTAATACTTTTGTTTACAGAAATGAGAGATGAGAGACAGATTGGGTAAGCAGTGAACGTAATTTTAGTGCAGTCCAGGAATGTCCTGAAGATTGAAACAATTTATTGACAGAATGTGAAAGGGTTAATAAGCAAAAGGAAAGATTTCAAGTTTCTACCAGGGCTGAGATTGTACTGTATCAGTGTGGGAAATACCTGTTAGCATATCATCAGTCCACAGTTATCTAGCTGGGGCCTAGGGAGCTAGATGATTAAAACAGGAGAAGGATGATAGAGTGCTTTCATTTGGATTCCATCACTGTGCAGGAGATCAAACTTGATGGCCTTGCTAAACACCCTGCAAATCTAGCACGTGATTCTTCTATGTTTCCTGTCTAAGTCCAAGCAGTTTTTGAAAGCCTCTAGCTGTTCTGAATTTTTCATTTTGACTGCAGCTCTGAGGTTGCCATGCAGGGATCCCACATTTTTTTTTGAAAACTAGTATTTTTACTTTAAGTAAGATTAGATGAGTATCTGGCATGCTGTAAAATAGGGACATCAAATCTTCCTTGCCAAGAATGCCCCTGGATTCCATATGGACCCCAGAAGCATTCATCTGAAACAAAAATGCATTAGCTGCAATCATTTGTAAATATGGCTTCTATCACGCATAGTGAAAAAAGACATTTTGTTTAACAGACTGCGATTAACACAAACTGGTTTATATTGGTGTATGAACCCGATCGACCAAATATTTTTCTTCCTGTCCTTGTTTCTTGCATATGGTTTACTGGGGATGAGACTTATACTAATTGGTTTTAGAATTAAATGATTTCAGCAATTTAGGTTAGTTAGATACCTGCATTTAATAAAGTAATGCTAGCTTCAGACTTGGTAAGATTGATAGATGGAGATAGGATCTCAGTAGCCTTAATATTGTTGTCCATGAAATGCTCAGCTCATGGGAAGACTGGTGTGATTGTGTTTGTGTATGAGGCAAAGGGAGAAAGAGTTGTTCATTTTGTATAGAACACAGTCCTGTAGCTTAGCCTTGGTGAAGACATCTGTTACCTCACTGTGTTCCATTGTTCTGCATCTTAGATATACCAGTGTTATAGTTTTTTTTAAAGAATCAGCATATTTGGTGAAAAGCAAAGGTATGTCTCTTTACATATTTCTCCTTTGTTAATTCAAATTTTTATTTTATTAAAAAAATGCTTAAAATACAAAACTCCAAAAAATTTAAAGAATAGGAAAAAAACAAAAACCTAGCAAAACACTAGAAAAGTGCATTGAATAAGAAAAGAAAAGAAAAACTAAAAACCCCTTGTTGAATACTGATTAATACAATTACTACAAAATTAATTTCTCATCCCTTGCGAAACAGGCCTAGAAGAATTTAAACTACTAAATCCATTTGCAAAGTTAAAAGAAAAATTTAAAAAATAAGCTCCAAACATTTTGCAAGTTAATAAAGTACAAAAACCCTGTGGGGAAAGCCTAATAATGATGTAAATCAAATAAAAGCACTTACAAGGACACACCGTGTTTCCATACAGAAAAGCAAAAATTATTCAAAACAACAACATAAATCAAAAGGAAGAGAAAAAAACTCAGATAAAATCCAGCAATGGGTTAAATTGAGTCAGCATTCAACTAGCCAGTCAACTTTTAAAGACAAAAAGCAAAGTGAAGCAATAAATTCAAAAAGTGAAAGTTAATACCCAGGCATGCTTAGAAAACAAAATGCTGAAAGGAAATGGATGCCCTGACTTTCTGACTGCTCCCAAAGGGAACTGGAATCTTCAAGACTCCCCTTCCCAGATGGGTCCATGGCTGTCCAAAATTCATCTGGCTCATTCCTAAGTGCTCTTATTCAAATTCAAGGAGCACCATTGCCAGAGAACCAAATCTGGCAGCAAAATCAGCAGATCTTTGATGGAAAAGAGAGTAATTCCTACCATGGGGTTTCTTTTTATCTCATTGCCCATTTCTCATTTCACTTCTCAGCTCTGTACACTGCACGTATTCTCTTTTCTTGACTACTGTACTGGTGACAGCTGCCTGGTTCCCACAACATGCCAGGCAAAAATACATTTGGCTCATTTGTGACTCAAGGTAGCTCTATTGGCACAGCATGCCTACTCACAACTTTTAGCCACGGTTTACCCAATTGAATATTTCTGATTTACACAACACACCAAGCATAAATGAACTAAAAATAGCATGGTGATATGACAAATTAAACTACGGTAGTTTGTAGTATATTGTGCCATGCAAAAAAAGCACTTGTGATCTTGAATTTGTCTTTTACTCTTATTTCTGATAGAAATTTCTGGATATTTTTACAGCATAGTCTGCATAATGCAGTAGCTTAAATCAAAAATGTTATATAATTCTTTGATTGGCTAACCTTCATGCCTGCATGCTTCTTTGCCTCCCTTTGCCTTTTTCCCTCTTACTTCATAGTTTTTTCAAAAAAACAAAACAAAAACAAAAACCCTCTTTCTCACCACCAGAGGGCCCTCAAGTTAAGTTGATCTCAGATGTTTTCTCCTTTATCTTGTTCTGCCCCATCATATTATAAAATCACTTTCTCCAATTTGTTGCTCTTCAAATATGTTGAACTATAATTATAAATCCTCTCCTAGTTCAAATGGCTGGCAGTTATGAAAGTTGAACTCCAATACATTTGGGAAGGCAGCCAGTGGTAAAGGCTGTTTAAAATACACACACACACACACACACAAAACCCACTGAGAACTATCTGAAATTTTAGGCATGGTTTTCCACTCTGAAATCTTGTTTAAAAGATATTTATCTTTGCCATAACTAAGTACTTATAATTGGGCTTAGACATGGCAATACTTACGCTGGGTTAGATAGCAAGTCATTGATGTTTCTGTCTTAGCATGACGTAATTTGTAATAATCACTAATAATGGTTTAGTGACATTGTGAACTTCTTCCTTTTAAGTTGAAGCCTGATTAAAGAAAACATGACAGTCAGCAGTGTGAACCTGGTTTATAAGTTGACCCATAGAAATGAACAGAGCTTAAATGAATTATAACAAGCTTTCCTATTGATTTCAATATTTTTCCTTAGTAAGACTAAATCTGAACCATAATTGAGAATTATAGCAGGTGGAAGTACCTAACTGACTCTAGCTGACCTTGAAAAAACTAAGTAGGGTTGGCTTTGGTTAATAGTTGGATGAGAGACCATGATGGATTAATGCTATGACAGACCACATCCATAATATTGCCAAGAAAAACATAGGCACATCCTTGAGCTCACCAAGAGTTAGGACTTTAAAAGAAGCAATTAATATAATTAAAACTGAATTCTCCAGATGTGATTATCTTCAGTGTCTAGAATTCCTGGTCAGAATATGTTAGGGTGATGATTGAGAATTCTGGAAAGTAAAGATCCACACAGTGGGATCATGCCTAGGTTGGCAAAACTTTTTGGACTTTCATTTCCCTTTTGCTGATAATATTAACACTTTCTCCTTTTGTCACACTATGTAGCATATTTTTTCATATTTTTCTTTGTCATTTAATTTAGGAACATTTGATTCCAGTATAGCTCGTTCTCCACTAACTTAGCGCCTTCTGAAAACATGTAGTAAAAAGTATCTTTTATCTTTGGGTATCACTCATTTGCTTCAATTGTTCCTTCCAACTCTAGGTGATTAACCAAGTCAGTTTCAGGCTGTAAGCACTAGATTAGGAAAAGTGATTTAATGAGTGGGGGAATGAAAGGATAGAAAATAATAAATTAAGGAGAGAGAAAATGTTGAGCAATTTTTGCAGGGCTATATTCATTGCTTATTTACCTTTTGGATTATCTAGTGGTTTCATTTTCTAGAAAGGTTTCCAAAATCCTTAACATCCTCAAAATGTGCAGTGTGGGCTTTGGGAATGATGCAGAAATAGGAAGGATCATTTATAAAGCATATACCTGTGATTATTTTCTTCACATGAAAATAGCATTTAGTGCCTTTTGTTGGCAGGCAGGTTGTAAATTTTCTTCAGCTGCTGATTTCACCAACCAGAAATGTACCGTATTATAGCATATAAGTAGCTGTGATACCCATCCTTAAATGTGAGGCATATGGAATATGTGGCAAACCTAAACTCAGGGTCACAGGCCACAGACCATCATTGGTAAGAATTCAGCCTCTCCCAACTCAGTGAACTCAGTAGATGTTGGTCCTGCTAGCTGAAATTTTTGGAAGTTGTAGTCCCAGCAATCTGGGGGTGGATAGGCTCCCAACTGCAAAAGCATTCTTGAGAGATTCCTGTTTTTTTTTGTCCAATCTGTGTTTAAATGTCTCTAAGGAAATATAGTTCACTTTTTCCCAAGGCCATTTATTCCATTCTTGTAATGCCATAGTTATTAAGAAGATTCTTCAATAATTTAATCACAAATTGATTTCTATAGTTTGGACCACCTGGTTCTGGTCCTGTCCTTTGCAATAATATCAAACAAGTTTTTACCTTTTCAGCGTGTCAGTCCTTCAATCTGAAGACAGTTATTATTTAGTGCATTCTTCTTCATAGTAAACTCACCCAACTTTTTAAACTATTCTCGTTTATTTTATTTCTGGACCTCATGATTCTGGTTGCCTTCTTCCATAGATACTTATTAGATGGTAGAATGATTGACCTGCATGTGAGCTGCACATTTTCATGTAGTCTAAGAGTCCATTAAGACCTTTAGCAGCATCATTCCATTAATTGGGTATAGCAACTTATTTCATATATGAGTCTTTGATTCCTAAACTCACAATTTTACATTTTATTCTTGCAAGTTTGGCTATGCATATCAGGATCATTTTAAATATGTACTTTGCCTTCTATTGTGCTAATTGCCCTATGTTGTGGAACTTTATTCAGAATTGATTTCTGAGTTGATTGAAAGGCCCTGATAAACCTTTATTAGTTTTTAATGAACTCTACATCCATTTAATGGTATGACCAACATTGTACCATTTTGTCAAAAATGATTTCAAGGATGATTGTGTTTGATGCTTTACTCAAACTTAGACATTCTTGTGATCTACACAACAACTAGATAAACTATTATTCTAAATAAAAAAGAGGTACGATTGTGCATGATTTACTCTCGACAAACCTATGCACATTTTTAGTAATGCCTTTTCTAACGAACCGATTGCTTAATCTTAAAATATGAGCAGCATTTGGGTTCTGGAAGCAATAAACAAAAAAATGTTTCAGATATTTTATTAGTTTATCACAATATAAAATATAGAAGTACAAAGAAAAATTAAAGTAGTGGGAAAATAAGGGAGGAAAAGGAGAAGAGAAGAAAGTGTAGGCTGAGGAGGAGAAAAGAAAGAAAAGCATTCACTTCCGACTCCTTTTGGTGCAGTAGAATAAGACAGTAACATAAAACCTCACCTTTTTACTTTTATATAATAATATATATTAGCCATTTCTATAACAACAAAGTTATCTAATCAGCAAAACCCAAAATCAAAATTTCATTTTTTTTCCACGTCAAGCACACAGAAAAGTGGTTTCCACGTAGAAACAAAATTTAATCAAAGCAGTCAATTTTGCCATCTCTGCTAACTCCATCAACTTTTGCAGCCATTGTGGGAATCAAAGTATCCTTCCATTTTTGTGCATAAAGTATTCTTGCTGCCATCAACATATATAACATCACAGTTCCAATTTTGTTAAGTTCTTTATCCATTAAGCCTAAGAGTCTCTGGTTTTAACTTTATATTCACTTTAAGTATCTTCTGTATTAACATGTGAATCCTACTCCAATATTTCTTTGCTTTGTCCCATGTCCACATAAATGGTAAAAAGTCCCTTCTTTACATTTATGTTTCCAACATTCATTTGAGGTCTCTTTATACATTCTTGACAATTTGTCCAGTGTTCGATACCAACGGTACATCACCTTATAAAAAAATTCTTTTAAATTATAATTTAATGTGAACTTTAGATCTTTCATGCATGTGTCCTGCCATTTTTCAAGTATCAGTATTATATCCAAAGTACTTTGCCCACTAAATCATACGATGCTTTACATACTCATTCTCCAAGTTCAATTTCAATAACAATTTATAAACCTTAGGAATAATATGTTCATCACTACCACACAATAGTATTTCCAAATCCATAGCATTTTAAAATCTAATTTAAATCTTTTTTTCAATTGTAAATATGTAAACCAATGGTAAACACATCCTTCTGATTCCTTCTTTAGACTTGAGAATAGGGTCACCATAGCTGAAAGATATTATTTGACCATAAGTCCATCAGTCTTGCTTCACCACCATTTCTTTTCTTAAAAATGCTTCCTGGGCAACACCCAAAGAGGCATCTTCACAGAGAACCTTATTTTATATTTATTCCAAACTTTTAGGATAGTACGTATAACAAAGTGATTATTGACACCAGCAATAGTAATATCTTTACTTCAACCTTATCATTTTTACTTTAACCTATCATGCTATAAATATCTGTGCCATCCAAATCTTAATTAATGTCCCTCCAGCTCAAATAACCTCTTATTTTGAAAAGACACCCACTCTGTTAACCAGACCAAACAACAAGCATCAAAATATAATTTCAAATTTGGTAAACCCATACCTCCACTTCCTAGCACCTTCCAATAATTTATGTCTAATATTTGGTTTTTTCCCCCTTGCCATATAAATGTACAGATATCCATCTGCCATTGTTTAAATGGAGTACAAGTTATAAGTATTGGTAGAGTCTGAAACAGAAAAAATATCTTTGGTAAAACGTTCATCTTAATTACAGAGATTCTACCCAATAATAATAGTTGCAATTTATCCCATCTTAATAAGTCTTTTTTAATATCATTCCAAAGAGGCACAATGTTAGTTTGAAAGAATTTAGCATTTGTATTTGTCAATATAACCCCAGGTATTTCAATTTTTTCTCCACCTTAAAACCCTATGTTTTAGTCAATATTTCATAATCCTGAGAGGTCATATTCTTAACAAGCATTGTTGTTTTCTATTTATTTATTATAAAGCTCCAAACTCATTTAATTTCTTCATCAGATATTCTATACTGGGTTTTGGATCTTGCAAAAATATAACTAAATTGCCAGCAAATGCTCTCATTTATAAACTTCCTTTTTGATATTTATACCTGTTGCTTTCTCATCTTGCCTAATATCCCTATTCAAAACTTCCAACACCAGAAAAATGAAATACAAGCTGAAAGGGTGTATTACAGCAAAGCATAGCAAAGGAGAAACTAACTGTAAAGCATAATATACACAGGAACAGCAAAGTTCAACAGAGGACTGCAAATACAAGAGAAAATCTCAATCTTGTCCAGTAACTGAGAGCCCTTCTTCCTTAGCAAAGATATATCCTTGGATTATTCTGGCTATAGATGCTGGCTATAGCACCTTTCCCATATAGGTCTGTACTGAGCTCATCTCAGGTAAGTTTCCAAAATCCTATATCAGTGGTGGCGAACCTATGGCATGCGTGCCAGAGGCGGCACTCAGAGCCCTCTCTGTGGGCACGTGCGCTGTCGCCCCAGTCCTAGGCCTTCAGCTAGGTTTTATAAAACCTTTTTGCTTTACACCTCCGCCGCCGTGTGCAAAAAAAAAGGTTCAACCAGTCAATTTCAACTTCTAGCGGGAAAAAAAAGATCTTGCAAAGTTGGAATTGATTGAACTTTTTAGTCCCACCCAGTCTGCCATTACCATCGCAGCCACGCCCACTCAATGGGCCACACCCACCCAATTGGCCACACCCAGCCAATGGGCCACACCCAGCCAATGAGCCACACCTACCCGACACTCGACGATTCATAAGTGGGTTTTGGGTTGCAGTTTGGGCATTCAGTCCCTAAAAGGTTCGCCATCACTGCCCTATATAATATGCTATAGCAATTCCTCATCCTCCTATTAATACACATTTCTTATTTATACTTCTTGCCCAATAGTTGTTACACATTTGTTTGTGGTAGCACCATCTTATTCATCTGCCTCCCTGCTAGGTATCAGGCCTTGGCAAAGCAGTTCTAGAAGAAAAAATAATCTTGTGGAAGTAAACTGCAGGAGAAAATAACCAGTAAAATGGGAAGAGTTTTAAAAGCCTTCATACTAAAGCTAAAATTACTGTGACCAACTGTCAGAAAAGATAGGAAAGCACAGGGAAAACTGGAGTCCACCATTTCAACCTCCTCTTCTGCAATAGCACAATGTCTGGTTGGTCCAATAAATATGTAGGATCAATCTGTAACCTCTAATGACAGGACACAGTGAAAAGTTGTTTGTCAACATGGAAAAACTCTTTAAGGTTTCCAGGTCACATAGAATGGGGGGGCTCCAAAGATGTTCCATAAGAACTTTAAGAGGTTTCCTTATGCCAAATCTGATGGAATATAAACAGTGTGGTGTTTTTCTTAACTGGCAATCTCTCTAGGTCAGTATTTCTCAACCTCAGCAAGGTTGACAGGTGTAGACTTCAACTCCCAGAATTCCCCCAGTCAACACATCTTAAAATGGCTAAGGTTGAGAAACACTGCTCTAATGTTTAAAGAAGGGTTTTTTTCCAACCTACCTCTTAGTAATAGGCATTAAAAATCTTCTCTAGGGCAAAGCTTGCACTTGCAGCATCTTATTCTTCTGCTTACAGCTTTTCTATACAGCATTTGAACAGCTGGTGGATAGATGTCAAATCTCTTCCCATGTGTTTTTATGTATTTTGACTTCTTTTTAATGATGGAGGTTTAATTTTTGTTCGTGTTCACTTCTGTGCCATGCCACCCAGAGTCACCTTGCTTGAGTTGATTGGCCTTATAAGTGTACAAAAGGAATAATTAAACAAATATGCAAAATGAATATGGGAAATGGCCAGCCTTGCTTTGTGATGGATTATCACAAAAGTCTGCAGATAATTTCTCATCTGCAACCATAGGCCAATGTGTGCAGTTAGATGTACCGAGTAACCTCTGGGTCCACCAATCATGTACAGCCTTGTATTAACCACTTATTACATGCTTTTCCTAATGGCAGATGAAATATAGATATTTGACTTCCAAAATTGACTTGGAAGTCAGTCACTTTTTTGTGTTGATGAGGCTCATTTTGACTCATTTCCTATTTATCTTCCTGCAGTGGAGGGATGGGCAGAAGGACCAGGAGCAGCAACACAGATGCCCCGTTCTAAAAGGGCAGATGTTGGAGATGCATTTCGGTCAGATCTTGACACAATTCCAATTCATGATGAACCCAAACGGAAGGAGAAATCGACTGACACAGAAGAGGACCAGATAAGCGAAGAGTCTCGTGAACTGAGCACCAAAACTACTCAATTCCCATCTATTGTTGACGAATTTTTAGAAAAGTCTGGGGACGACAAGGGAGCAGGACTTGCCTATATCCCGGCTGATCCAGCTCAGCTAGCAGCACAAATGCTAGGTAATGTTGAAACGATGGGTACTGAGCCTGAGTTGAAGGATGTGGCCATCTCTGTGCAGACCCTTCCTACGTTGTCCCACACTGCTAGCGAGGCAATGGCCGCGATTGCACTTGGCCAACCAGCTGCTCCAGAACCTGCCCCTGAACCTGCCCCTGAGCCTGCCCCAGAGCCTGCCCCTGAGCCTGCCCCAGCAGAAGCAGAACCTGCTGAAGAAGAAGCACCTGCCCCAGCAGAAGCAGGACCTGCTGAAACAGAAGCAGGACCTGCTGAGGCAGAAGCAGAACCTGCTGAGGCAGAAGCAGAACCTGCTGAGGTAGAAGCAGAACCTGCTGAGGCAGAAGCAGAACCTGCCCCAGCGGAAGCAGAGCCCGCCCCAGAGGAAGCAGAACCCGCCCCAGAGGAAGCAGAACCCGCCCCAGAGGAAGGGGAAGCTGCCCCAGAGGAAGGGGAAGCTGCCCCAGAGGAAGTAGAAAACAGAACCTCTGCACCTTCTCTCAGGGCTGGATCAATCACTCAAAGTCAGAGCTCCGTCCAGGAGGAAGTAGCTACCTCGGGCAGCCAGGGGGAGCAGCCACCCGCTGACCTAGTAGAACAAGCTTCCTCAGATCCCTTGCAGGAAGGAGAGCCACCCCCGCCGCTACCACCACCGCCTCTTGATAAAGACCTGTTGCAGGCAGAGGGTTGCCCAAGTGAAATTGAGCTCACATCAGACATACACATCACACCCGTGGGTGATGATGACCCCAGCGCTGGTGGAGAGCCTGTACCACCACCTTATGTAGAGCAGTTTCCACAGCAGATAGTCATTCCTTTCGTAGACACAGTAGCCTGTCTCTTAGATCCACTAACGGCTTCACTAAATTCAGGCCAGTTTACTAGTATTCTAGATCCATCTGCAGATGATGCAGAATGTGACCCTGACAGAATGGATACTACAGAGCAACTGAAATCAACTGACCCAGGTTTTATTATGTCAGGTAAGAAAGTCAAGATATTTCTGAATCCTTCCTATTCCACATTGTAATATTTTAGCTCTGTAAGTAGTAATCATTTCCATCTCCTTGGGTGCATTTATGTTGGTAAGAGCTGACAATAAATTAGCAGGAAAGGGGTTAGTTCTCCAGCTGTAGCTGAACTAGAATTGCCAACAGTCTCAGCCATTACAGTTAATACTGAGGGATGTTGGGTATTGCAGTTCAGCAACATCTGGAAGGCTACACGTTTCTCCACTCCTGCAATATAGCTTTGGCCAAGAAAGTGCCTCAAGGACTGGAACTTTACTTGTTTAAATGCAAATAGCCATGCCAGTGCAGGGTTGAAGTAAACGATGGTTACTTTTGTTTTGGGGTGTTACAGGCCCACAGGACTTGTCAGGCAGAATGTGCATGTGTGAAATTTTTCCTTGTGGGATCCTTCCAGGTGTGCAGTGGATTGTGAATAAGCCCTAAAGTTTTCTTTGCACAAGTTTGCCCTAGTTTCCTGTTCCTGTATTATATTCTTTTTGTACAGAGACGGAGAAGCAGCATGGGATGAAATTCAGCAAGGGGACACTGGTATAGAAGATGCTTGGCCTTTCATTTTCCTACCAGAAGACTTGCTCACAGTAAACTGCACAGCTTGAATCAAAATTGCATACATGCCCATGGCAGCTGAAGGAAAGTGAGGTGGTGACTGTGACTAATTTTTTTTAAACATAATAGACTCAACTGTGGCATTGACATGGTTTTTGCATTTAAAAGAAATGGTGGTGGTTGCCTTCGCTTGTCCCATTAGGTCCAATCTTCTCCAGATGCCTACAGAGGGTGGACTAGTTGCTTTTTACTTAGAAACATGGGATTGTTGCAACTGGAGGCCTAGCTTTCCTCCCTGGCTGGACCTCTTCCAAACATTTTCTTGCCTCTGTAATAAGTGTCTAAGCCACCACTGTTCCCAGCTGGAGAAAGATTGATTGTTTTTTATCCATTGACCTCTGATTGTAAAATCTCCCAAGAATCACATTATGTTAGAGAGATAGGTAGGTAAGAAACAAAAGCATGTTACAGAAGAGAGAATGCTGAAGGCTTAAAAGGATACTGAAGCTTGTCATGGATGGATTTTTCAATATTTTAAGCTGCCAATCATTTGAATTGGAGTTTATCATCCAACAGCTTTTGCATTGACTCACTGGAGAGCTGATTAAAATGAATTCATACAGGACCCTAAGGCTTCACCTGTGGGGCAAGCCTGTAAAAAACTAACTGACTGATGTTATGCTGACAAAGGACTCTCACACATGTTGAATATTGGCAATTTGGCAATTTCTTGTAATTAATGAATGACTTGAATTAAAAATGTGCTCTGTGCATCTTTTTAAGATGAACTGCAGCTTCATCACCACGAGGCACATTGCTGTGGTCCATCTATTTTCAACATACCAAGGTGCAACTTTTTGCCTCTACAGACTCTCTTCTTTGTAACATGCTTCTTTGCGGCATAAAGTTGTTTGTAAAGATATGCATTATGACTGCAGTTCATACATCCTAGTAGATGGTCTTTCATGCCAGCAAATTTTTCTTTAAATTTTTATTTTATAGCCATGGCAACAAGCGAACCAGGACAGCCACCACCATATTCTAATGTATGGACTCTCTATTGTCTAACTGATTTGAAACAACAAGGTCGTAAGTCACCACCACCTCCACCACCCCTTCCACCTGTTGGAACTGGTGCTACTGTTCCCCAAGCAACCCTATTCATATCTAGTGGTAAGGACCAACCACAGTATCTACAGCCGCAGATGATACAACAAGGTCAACCACCACAAGTGTCCTCTCCAACTTATGTGATGATGGAAGATGGGAAGAAGGGAAGTGCACCACCTTTCATTTTAGTGGGCTCTTCTGTTCAGAATAAACAGGACTGGAAACCTATCCCAGGCCATGCTGTTCTAACACAGCCGGACGCTACTGGTACTGTGAGGAGGTTCGCTACAATCCCCGTACCAGTCGCCAGGGCAGCAGATTCAAAAACGTCCAACCCCAGTTTTAACCCTGCACAAGATAGTGGCAGGCCTCCAACTCCAGTTTTTCTTTCAGTTGCCATACCTCTGGAAGATGTGATGAATGGGAAGATGGGCTCAGGATCTGGGGATAAAGCAGCTTTTGCAGGCAGTTATGGTATAGCAGGAGAAATCACATTTACGACTGCCTCTGTACGCAGGACAGAATAGCAAAACGGTGAGTGGATGTTCAAGGTTTGGTAGAGACCCTAAAGCTTGATAAAGCTTTAAACACACACCTTTCAAACCTGGTGTTTTTCAGATATGTAGCGTTCAATCTCACGGGTCCCCAGCCAACATGGACAGTGAATATGGCTGGGATTGGATGAGAGATGAAATCTGACACATTTGCCTGAAGTGGGCTCGTAAAATGTTCTTTGGTACACTTGCTTTTCTACCCATATGACATTCTTGATGGTTTGTAGCAACCATTCCCAGATATCATTCTAGAGGCACAAGCCAAAGATCAGGGGCAGCGTTAAGCAGAGCAAGCAGTTTTTATTTTCTTTTGCAACTGAATGGTACTTTTTTTTCTTTGAGGGGGAGCAGGGATGCACAAGATTTGACAGGGTGCCGACATGGTATCATGTCGAGTTCCTTCGTTTTTCTCTTCTGAGGGCAGGGAATGAAGCAAGTGCAACTTCTTTAAGAGGAACAAATATCAAAATACAGTGAATTTAGAGATAATGCCCCTTTCCAGAAAGAAACTTAGAAAAATATTTCTAATTTTATTTATACCCCCACTTTGTGTAAAAGAGGGCAGGGCAGCATACATAATGCTCCCTCCTCCTATTTTTCTGACAGGAATCCTGTCAGGTAGGTTGGGTCAAGAGAGATGGTCTAAAGCAGGGGTCCTCAACCTTGGCCACTTTAAGACTTGTGGACTTCAACTCCCAGAATTCTGGGAGTTGAAGTCCACAAGTCTTAAAGTGCCCAAGGTTGAGGACCCCTGGTCTAAAGCCACCTCAGGAGCATCCACTGGATCAGTGTTTCTCAACAACTTTTAAGATGTGTGGATTTCAACTCCCCAGCTGTATCTTAAAAGTTGCCACGGTTGAGATTCCTGCAGTAGATTAGTACTAAATTTCTTAAAATCCCATCTTATATATATAATTCAGGGGAGCAAACAAACCTAACGCTCTTGCCTCCTAAATTTTCCCACAAGTCTAACTTGGGTTAAGGAGAGACAAGAACTTGGGTTTCCCTGCTCCTAGACCATCTTTATCATTATTCTAATGGCTCACTAAAAACCCAGGGGGGAGCATATTAAACGTTAAGACATATTAAATAGCACTATGCGGCTTTGGGTTTGAAGGTGCATCGGTCTGCAACCTATTCAAGCAGCCGTACTGTTTTCCTGACATCATTAGGCTGCCTTCTCCAGCTGTGCTCTGAAAGCAGGAAATAACGTTTGGCTGAGTTGCAGAAGAGTGCTCTGTTTGGGCCTCTCTTCACAGCCTTTTAGAACTTTGGCTAAATCTGCCTTCTTTGAATTAAAGATGTGAGCTAGCTTTCAAGAGCAGCACTTACACACAAACCCTTTTGGTGCATTTTTATCATTGCCTTCCTTTCCTTTCATGCATAGTGCTCTTTATCAGAATTAATGGCAGACCTCTGAAAGCTTGCTTATTTCCAAGTCTTAATAATAAAGAAAGCTTGATTTTCCTGCCACTATTAACAGGTAAAAGAGAGAAGTAGGGTTGTTTGTAAAATCGACTGAAAGCCCCGGCTTATGGCATGTTTCTGTACCATATTGATGGCAATAGTGTTCTCACACATTTATAGGACATTGGGGTTAGGACCAACTGATGTATGTTTGCTGTATTTAAACCATTCAAGCCACACTTGTTCAGAATCAGTGTGTTTTTCCTGAAAATACTATTTGTGATGATTTCAGGCTAACTATGAATCTTGTCATTCAGTAGCATATGTTTTATATATATATATAAAACATTTATATATATATATGTATTAGACCAATGATGGCAAACCTTTTAGAGACCGAGTGCCCAAAAACTGGCCTCACCCCCGCTCCACCCCCTGCTCCGCCCCACCCCGCCTGCCTGCAGAGCCACTCACCGCCTCCAGGGCCCTCCGCAGATCGCCCAGACAGCCCAGCAGCGCTATGGCGGCCACGCCCTCTGCCCGTGCCCCACAGCATCAACTGTGCGGGATGGGGCGTGAGGGCAGAGTCTTATCTACGCTGCCTGGCTGCCATGTCCTTGGCTGTGCTGCTCTGCGTGGGCCACGCTCGGGGCCGACTCTCCTCCAGAGGGGCTGCTGGTGAGGGGGTCATGGGGGGAGGCGAGGCTGGGGCAACGGCACCTGTGCCCACAGAGAGGGCTGTGAGTGCCACCTCTGGCATGCGTGCCATAGGTTCGCCACCACTGTATTAGACTGAAAATGTGGTACACTGGCTAAAAAAATACAATGGAAATTTGATTATAAAGCAGTGGTTTTTGAAGTTCAAAGCATTCCAAAACCACAATTAAGGTTTAGTAGGTTGAAATGAATGTTAGACGGAACAAATAGTTTTTCACAAAGTGTTTCTTACTGTCACCAGCTAGAATGGTGGGCCTACTTTTGCCTGTATAGTTCACTGAAACTGATAAATTTTTTAGACTATATAAAAGTTAATTTGTTCCTACCACAAATAAATGGTTGACAGCTGTAATGAAGATAGTGATTTACAAAAAAAAGTTATTACCTGAAGTAATTTGATTTTATACAAGCTGAAAGGTTAGGTCTAAATGATAGATACTGGGATGAATGCAACTTTTGCATCTGGTTGGCTCATGTCACAGCCTGGTTTTTGATGTAATCCTGCTTATCAATTTTTGGTTGCTTCCTTCTACAAGTTTCTAGGACTTTTGTAGATTTCCTCCAGAGCATTGGAAGACCCATTTAAATTCATGAGTAGTAATCATGGGCTGATTAAAAGGAAAAATGTCCCCTGATTTCACTTCTCTTCTGCTCCTATTAGTCTAATTTGCTGAGAAGCAAACCTTGGATCCCACCTATTATGTGCAACTAAAACATTTATTAATATCTTCATAAGGCATTTTTAAAAAGTCTGCAGCCTGTTCCCATCTTTTCCCCACTTGGAAGAAATGTCTCTAAGGAAATTGCAAATAGTTATGTACACATCTGCATAAGACTCCACCAGGAGCGCGTGAACCCCTGCAATTTATGTTCTACTGTGTACAATTACCAGCATTGTTATATCCATGACTAAACAGATCTCCTTGCAGCAATAACTCAGAACAAGCAGAGATTTGTTCCAAATCCCTCCTTGTATATGCATTTACCTATAGTTAAAAAAAACTACTTAAAGCTTAGTGAAGTACATCCTTTCATTTCATCTATCAGTAGATTTCTCACATTATAAAGTTGTGGATATCAGTGACTATTTTCACCCACTGTACTAAGTCATAGCTTGTTTCTACCATGGCTTACAGAAAAGGCCATAATACCTGGATTCCCATAGTATTCCAAGCCAAAACCTAATAAGCTGAATTAGGGTTTAGTACAATTGACAAACCCTGTATGGTAGGATAGGGTAACCTATGAGCAGCTGTTGAAGTACAACTCTGTTTACTTTTGGAGGCTATCCATATTTGAAGTACACACTCTTGTATGAAGGGTTTTGTCCTTTGTAAAATAAATTCATCCAAGCTTTTGAGCAGGATGAGAAAGCCTGAATGTTTCCAGGGGTTGTTGGATTCTAAATCCAATCACTATTATCTTGAGTCAAGACCAAATCTAAAGATGGTGCCTTTTTATGTACTTTTGTGAGGTAAGTGACAGCCTATGCATTGATGCTTGATACTAGAAATGATGTATTTTTACAGTACTGTCCAGGAACCATTGCTAAATGTACTGAGCTGATGTTTTTTTCCTCCCAGATTGAGAAGAGGTGCTGTCCAACATTTCACCCCAGAATGGAAAGCTGCATCTTTAATTTAAAATTGATTAACTACTAGTACAAGCAATAAAAGCAGTACAAGGAATCTGAATCTAAAGACATTTTTTCCCTATGGCTTAAGACTGGTAGCCAAGTAGCATAAAATTAAAATCAGGAGTTTCCTTAAGTTGATTTTCTATACAAACTAAAAATTTAAAAATGATCGCTAGCAAAAACATGGAACTTCAGACACCTTCAGCAGAAATATATTATTAGACTATTTATTAGATTTGTGGAAAGTTTTGAAGCCTTGTGTATATATAATTTATCAGTAATACTTACAACAAATCTACTTTGAAGTAGCAAAATAGAAAACAGTGTTTCAGGAATGAGAATGAGAAAAAAAAACCCTAGATGGAACCAGAACACCCTTGCAGACTCCTGAGCCACTCTCAATGCTGTCCTTCCAAAATTGGGCCAAGAGACAAAAAAAGAGATTTTGCTTGTAATCTACTGACAGCAAATCAAATCAACAGGACAGCGAAAGCCTTTATTTAATAGCAATAAAATATTCAGTTAACACTATTTCCAAACCATACTTAAATTATACAAGAGCAGCAGTCCCTCTGGAATTTCTGTACCCCATATTATACAAACATATAATTTAATAAAGGTTAAAGCACCCCAAACGGGTAAATTTGCTCTGTACAATAGTCTCTCAAATGCTTTTGAAATGTACACACTTCCTTCTAGGGTTTGTTGTGGCCCCATAGATCCAGGTGCTTCTCTTTTCTCTGTAATGTCCCAACTTAATTTCATAGAGCCCTTCTTTGTGTGGATAAGGACTCCGTGGCCTTCCAGAGGTCGAACCACAGCTCCCATCATTCTTGACTGCTCACAATGCTACCAGGGCTGAAGCCCAACAATATTCAGACTATATTAGTGCACTGCAGTTTGTTTTTAAAAAAATACTTATCTTAGTTCAAATTAAACTTTTAAAGATTTAAATGGCTCTTAATTCCTTAAAAGATAGCATGGTAATAAAACATGAAAGAGAAAATTCAAAATATCGCACTAAATAGGAAAAGACATTGCTAAGTGATTTTATGCATTAATCCAATTTTAATTAAGTAGTAGTAGCTTGGTGCAGAGAGTACAAAATAAAATTATAAATGAATTACCTATGATCCTGCATTTTATTAATGGAATGCTGGCTTCAGGAAGTTGACTAATTCTTACCCAAATTGTCATGCCCTTCTCATGCTTT